TTTTTTTTTTGTTTTTGGGAACTGAACAGTTTGCAAATAGCTTGTTTTAAACACTCTCAGAATGCTGCTTGTCTGCTCTTTTGGAGTGACATTGATTCCACTGGTTTTAAAGAAAGCTGCCTTTCTGAATGTCAGGAAATTTCTATGGGCCACATGAAGTATGGGACAGTTCTTGATTTTTTTGTTGTTGTTATATTTTGGGGTTGTTTTCTAAAGCAAATCTTTCAAGGAGACAAATCCTGAATATCTTTTTTTGCCCATCAGAAGTAATAGGAGGTAGGTCTCAGGAAAAGGAGATTAGAACATTGGTCCACAAAGGGAATAGAAGAGGGATGATTCATACTCTTGCTTTGAGCAAGTGTAAACAAGTTGTTCTGTGAGCAGTAGAAATGATAAAACAAGGTTTCTATAGATTTTTACATTTTCACATTACTAGGCATTTTCCTCTTCAACAGTCAGCCTTCTGCCCTTGGCTCTCTCCCCAAACCCTCCATCTCCTCTCTGGTCCAAACACCTCTCTGTGATGTGCTGCCATCCTTCCTACAATCCTCTATTTCATCCTGGAGTATCTGTTTCCCTCTTCCTGATCCCCCATAACCAGCTGTATCCTGCAGCTGTGCCTGTATCTGTTTGGTACTGGACAGACAAGAGGCAGAACTGCCAGCAGCACACCTGGAAAGAAGTGTGTGCTGAGTGGGATCAATCAGGAAGCTCAAGCTGTGTCTCTGTCTGTTATTCCACTGCCATTTCTCCTTGCAGGACTGCAAGTCTGGGGAAACCTCTGCTCCCGTGATGAATGTAGTTTGAATTTGCCAGTTGGTCCAAAAATCAGTTGAGGAGAGGTGGTAAAGGCAGTTTGATTAGATTGATCATTATCTTCCTAAGAAAATATCCAAAAGCCATTAGTGAGTTTTCTTTGTGTCCTAAACCTACAGGCAGCAAAGATGGTGAGGGGTCTGGTAGGGAAGCCCTGTGAGGAGGAGTTGAGATCACTTGGTCTGTACAGCCTGCAGAAGAGGAGACTGAGGGGAGACCTCGTGGTCTTCAACATCCTCATGAGCAGAAATGGAGGGACAGACACTGATCTCTACTCTCTGGTGACCAGCAATATGGCCCCAGGGAGTGGCATGAGGCTGTGCCAGGGAAGGTTTGGACTGGATATAAGAAAATGCTCATCCAGAGCATAGCTGAGTACTGGAACAGGATCCCCAGAGAAGTGGTCACAGCACCAAACATAACAGAGTTCAAGAAGTGTTTAGACAGTGCTCTCAGGCACATGGTGTGATTTGGGGGCTGTCCTGTGCAGGGACAGGAGTTGAACTTGATGATCCTTGTGGGTCCCTTCCAGCTCAGCATATTCTCTGGTTCTATGAAACGAGACCTGAAGTGTTTCTTTAATTGCAGAAATCAGTCTATATTACGAATATAACTCCAACAAATTCTTTCACTTTTCACAGCAAAAAAAAGGGTCATAGACTTCCATTATCAGTTCACATTGCACTTACAATTGCTCACGTTGATTCCAAGACATGGACAAGGCATATTAAAATTAACAGTAAGTAGAAATTCCCCCCTCCTTTTTTTTAAACCTCTTTATTAAGTTTAGAGCAAGTTTGATTTAAAAAACCTCAGTCATCCTGAATTTTTATTAGCTGGACATGGACATGCTCTTTGAGGCACACTCCCACTAGCCTAAGTGTGTGCCTGAAGAGGAATTAGGGAGAAGCTGGCTGCAAATGGTTAGTTCTATTTTAATACTTGGGAAGTATTATAATGACATAAGTATGTAGGCAGATCAGATAAATATTGACTTGTGGTTGACAAAGAGATATTTTAAAAAATACCTATTGAGTGCTGGCCCTGGTCATGCACTTTCATTCCTGCTTTCCACAGTGTCTCTGGATGACGTCCTATCCCACTGGCATCAGCTGCAGGTGGCACCAGCAGGGCTGTAATTTTACTCTTCAAATTAACATGTTAAAACCCTTGTACATGTTGTCATATAGATGGACAAAGTAAGAATGGAATAGTTATGAGGACAGTTTTTGTAATAGAGTGAAAACAACCGTGAAGGGACCATGAATTGAATGCATCAAGCTCTATTGAAATCAGTCTATATAGAAGGAATTAAGCAATATGAATGCAATTTTTAATTGAAATTCCATGCCTGTGGAATTTTCACAAATCCAAGACCCAGGGAAAAGAAAAGTTTCCCAGATACTTATGTGTGCACCTAGGAAATTATACAACCATTAAAAAAACAAAGCCAGAAGCAAATAATGAATAATTCCCTCAAGCAAACAGTACAAACATACAACCCAGAGGGAGTGGGCAGCCTCCCCCCTCAGTCTGTGTGAACTGGTTCTGCAGACAGCTGAGCTGCAGCCCTGTCATCAGGGCCAGGGAGGAGTGTCTGCACGCACAGCAATGAGGAAAGCACTTGAAACGTGATGGCACCTGGAGCTGCAGTTGGGCAAACCCCTAATGATAGAAGATTGCATTGTGAGAAGATAAAAGAAAATGAATCACACAAACAATTAGATGAGATCTATGGAGTCTGCCCTGGAGTCTGGATGGTGGTGATGGAGAGCTGTCCCTGGGATTCCTCACAGAGGCCACGTGGCCCACAGCCGTGGGTTGGCCTGGCCCCAGCCCAGGCTGGGTGGTGAGATGACTCTGCCATCTCGAAAGCACAGGCACTCACAGGGCCTGGGTGAGCATCTCCCACAGGCAGCCCAGACAGTGGCACAGGGGCAAACTGACTTGCTATAAAGTAAAAGAGCATTCCTTTTTTTATCAAGGGCTCTGGAAAGAAAAGCCTTGATGCAATCTTGGATAATTCGGTGTATTTGAGAGCAAAAAAAAAGGTGACAAACTTGAAATGAATCCACATTGAGCAAATGATGATTGTGCAATCCTTGTATAAAATAATTTATGGGAATAGAAATGAGCTGTTCTAAAACAAACAAACAAAAAAAATACACTGACAGAACAAAGGTTCTTAATGTTTCAACAGCAGGAATTAGCAAGTATCACCTGTGGCAAGGTTTGCAGCCCCAGAGTTTGAGAAGCATCTTGCAAGTGATAAGTCCTCTCTTTTTGTGGGAAATTCCATAGCTTTATTTAAGGGAGGAAATATTTAGAGATGCATCCTTATAGGTGTGTATGTGTACATGTGATGTATACAATACAGATGTGCAAACATTTGGGAGAAGAAATAAAAGCTGACTCCAAAACAGGACAAAATGAAGCCACGGGCAGGCGAGGGTACATTTTATACCCGAGGGGGTGAATTGACAGGAAATGAGCTCACGTGGCCAGGCATCCACATTTCCCGAAGATCTCGATGCGATTCAGGGCGTTCTATCTTTAAGCTAAGAAAGCAGGCGTTCTTATCTCGAGGTAGATTACGTTCTTTTGGGTTTTAGTGTTTTGGGGTTTTTTGTGTGTGTGTGTTTTGTTTTTTGTTTTTTTTTTTTTTTTTACCAGAGCCATCACGGCAGGGAAAAACTCCAAAGAAGAGGAAGGCGCTGAATTTCCCGCCCCCGCCGGGGTGGGCAGGGGAGGGCACGGCCCGGCCGGCAAGGGGCGCTCCCGGGCGGGGCCCCCCACCTGTGCGGGGCGGGGCGGGGCAGGGCGGGCTCACCTGTGCGGGGCGGGGCGGGCGCACCTGCCCGCGGCCCCGGGCCGGCGGGGCGCGCTGGGGTCGCGCTGTGCGGAGCCTGCCGGCAGCATGGCCCGCCTGCTGGGCACCCTGCGCAGCTCCCAGCCCGTGGCGCGCTTCCAGCGCTCCTGCGGGCTCTTCCCCGCCGGCGAGGAGGGCGGCGGAGGCAGCAGCAGCAGCAGCGACCCCGCGGACGGGTCCCGGGACCGCGGTGCCTGCAATGGGGCGGCCGCGCTGCGCTGCCGAGCACCCCCCGGCGGGGTGCGGAGCGGCCGCGGCCCGCAGGTGAGTGCGGGGGGGCCCGGCCGTGACTCAGCACAGCTGTGGGTGCAGGGGCACCCCGGGAGGGTCTCGCCGCATCCCACCGCCTGCCCGGACTGGGGATGGAGAGGAGGAATGAAGGGGCCGGGCTGCGAGCGGGCTCCGCTGAGCGCTGTGCGGTGCCGCAGCCCGGCTACATCCCGGCCCCGCCGGGGAGGCGGCTTTGGGCTCTCCGCTCATCCCCATCGCTGGCGCCCCCGAAATGAGAGGCGGTCTGTGCGAGCAGGACCTGCCTGCAGAGGGGCCTGGAGGAGCCCTGTCGCCTCACCCCGGGATGCGGGTTTTCCCGCGGGTAGCGGCTGGGAAGGAGCAGTTCTGTTGCCGGCGGGTCTCTCTCCGTCCGGGGCGCACCTGCCGCGGTGCTGGGCTGTCCCCGCACCGGGTGCCCGCAGCCGGCCCCGCTGCCGCCCGGGCCTGGGCGCTGAGCGGCTCATCCCTGTTCATCGCAGTGCCCGTGAAGACAGGCTGAGCTCCCTGCGCTTCCCGCTGGCCGGGCAGGTCGCGGCGTTTCCCGGCACGGTCTGTAATTCCCTTGTGTATCAGGAGGGAGCAGGGAAGGGCATGATGCAACCCATGTGTACAGGTCGGGCGACCTGCTTTTTCTCTTACTGTAATGACTTGAATTCATTAGTAGATCACTTTGTGGTGCCTTTTGGAAAGCAGATGTGATAATGGGCTTCCAAACTCTACCTGCAAAATAAACACGGACTAGCTGTGAATGCTGCAACTCTACCACTCCTTCCCTGTTACACATCCAGTGCCCAGATTCCCATTTCAAGTATCTAAAACTCTTCATCAGCTACTGCTTGACTCTTTCTCAATTAGAAGATGTAGTTCTTCAGTCTGTTCTTTCTGAACTACAGTAAGATCTATTTTGGGTAAAATATGCGGATAATTCACTAAAAGTTTTTTTGTTGCTGCTTTCTTTTGAACAGTGACGTAGTTAATGTAGCAGTGTTGATACTAAAATACAGTCCAAGTTAATGCTTCATGAATGCAGCTGTTCACCTTGAGCAATTGTTTTGGGTTTCACAAAGTAAGGCACAGCTACCTGTATATGAAGGGTGTAGTGTCCTGAGTGAGACTACATGAAACTTGGAGTTAGAAGGGTTTGTTTCCACAGAATTAGGACACTAACTGCTGAAACATGTGAAACTTGGGTTCAAAGCCCCCAAAAATGGGGATGAGAGTAATGGTTTGAATAGTGTTTCTTTCAATGAGGTGCTAGAATTATAAAGACAGACGCTCTCTGCTCCTTGTTGTGAGACTGGAAAATCCATCTTTACAAAGAGGGTCTTGGCCAGGAGATGAAAAAAGTAAATTTGGACCTCCCTTATGCTAACTCCCAGGCCCACTGCTCTGTTGCTAAATGAACTGGGGTTGCCCTGACGTATCTGCAAGTAAGTAGGTTTAGGAGTTTCATACACATGGCAAATTCCTTGGCCATAAATTCTCTATGGACAGTGGTATTTTCTTGCTGTTAGCTGCAGCTGTTTGCAGAAAGGTGCTTAAGTGCTGCAGCTGCATCTCCACCTGATGGAGCGGCTCTGTGCTCATCCATCCCTTCCCGAACCTTCAAAGTCCGTGTCATCAGTACAAATGGTTTCTGTGAGGTAGAAACTCTCACACTGCTTTGTCCTTGCTGCCACAATGCAGTAGTTGAAGGTTTTCAGGTTCTCCTGTGTAAGTTCTTGCACAATCAGAGGGTTATGTCTGTGAATGGAGTATATTGCATGCAGTGAAGAAGATGTGAGTGGCTGAATGGATGCTGGGGTTGCCACAGCTCCATCTCTCCAGGGCATTCCCCCTTTCCTCAGTGCCAGCTCTCAGGCCCCTGCATCTGACATGGGCTGGACTCTGTGCCCGGGTGTCCCAGCTGGAGAGACTCTGGGGAAAGGGAGTTGAAGGCTTGCAGCTGGTGGTGGTTTGGGAGGGGATGGACACACCTGGTAGGGATGGATGTTGTACTGCATGGAGAGAAAAGAGAATCCCTTAGGAGGGTAAAGAGACAGGACAGCTCTTCACCTGGGAGAAGGAAGCCTTTAATTACCTGCGTACATTTGTTGCCACGATTCATGAGTGTCTTCTTCTATGTATAACCTGTTAAAAAAAAAAAAAAGAGGCCAGCAAGGCCTGATTACAGTGGCTGTATTCCTGAATCTTTGGAAGTCAGTCCTGTCTGCCCCACAGGAGCTGCCACGAGAGGATGAGACAAGGAATGAAATGCTTAGATGTGACAGCCACGGCTGCATATTAATTATTGAATTAGTTGAATTACTTAAATATTGAATTAGTTGCCTAGTCCGTGTTCTTGATGTTCCTTGGTTACCAGATCATTTAGAAACACTTTTTAATACCTCAAATGAAAACTCTGGTATTTGTGGATGATACAGAATGGTGCTAGTCCAACATGCTAACTGGATTTATGCCCTGGTTTGGACTGGATATTGAACCCACGGGCTTTTAGTGGAGAAACTGTCTGGTTTTATTATTACTGAAGACAAGACAGTAATTTCTTGTAATTATCCTGTCTCTTGCTAATACTACTTTCTTTTCTGTACTCCTTTCTATTATTAGCTTGTTTCACAAGGAATTTCTTTCTGAAACTGCTTAAAAGGTATCTTTTTCTGATGCTCTATATAAAGTCCTCGAGCTGTGTACTTAAAAACACTGACTTACTTTCTGAGGATTTCTCTGGTGTTGTGTGAGTGGCCAAAGAAATGCTACATATGTTTAAAAAGTGGAGCTCTGCTTATCTCTAATCTGCTGATGGACTTTTCCTCCTGAAATTGATAGCCTGAATGAAAGGGAGCAAAGGAAAAAAAAATAATCATCTATTCAAAGTTCTCTGTAGGGATTTGTTTGTCTTTCTCCACTCTTCCTTTCCCAGATGCTTTATCGTCTCTTGAGATCTTTCTTTCTGCCTTTGAAAGAGTACAGTTCATGTTTACTCTGTAGTTATACCTTAACTGTCAGAACTGCTCCCAACTGGCGCAGTGTTTACAAACTGCCTGATGACGTTTAGTGATTGTATGGTTCTTGCTCATGCCGTAGGTGAGGAGGATAATAGCCAGGATAACAGCAAGGTGATGGTAACAGAAATGGAAAATGTGGGTGAAAACTGCACATCCATCTCAGATGTGTTGCAGTCCCCAACTGGCAAGATGTAGGTGACAACGCTGCTTTTGCTGTGATGGCATGGCTGGTGATTTGAAGCATGCTTGTTCTAGGGCTAGAGTCAAGCTCTCTCTTCTGTGGTGTTCCCTTGCAATAGATTTTTACATCAGCCTCAGAGTCTTGCTTTTCTTTTTAAATTGTCGTGCAGGCTTACTTGGTTTCAAGTTGTTTCCCTTTCCATACAGCAGTAAGTTGGTGGTAGCTGGGGTAGGTGCAGCAGATGAGACAAACCCTTGTGAAAAATGCCCATGAGCACTGTTAGGAGAACTGGCAGCAAGGCAGTCCTGCCTCAAGTGCTAGCACTTTGTCCTTCTAGGGAACGCAACTGAACTTTTGGAAGCTGCTGAGTTTGGAGCTGCAGCTGGAGAAACATGAGATCCAGTTTCTTATTTCAGTGAGCACAAGGCTCACGTTCCCCAGCATTGTTCCTGTGCCCTGGTACTCCATGTTCAATCTCCCCTACATGGTGTGGCAGCTGAGGGAGCTTGCCCATCTTGCACGTGTCTGATTTTTGGTTTAAGGTTTAAGCAGCCACTAAGAGATGATTTTAATCTGTATGAGTGAGATGGTTTCATTGGATGGTTTTGAGCAGCCTTGCAAGTGAGGGTCCTTCAGAAGATGACAGTACAGTCACATCCAAGATTCAAGTAGTGTGTGGCAACCCTGTGAAAATCTGTAAGCCCTGGGTTTGCCACCACTCAGTGAGAAGCCCAGTGTCCCCTTTGGAGAACAAACAGCAGAGCCAGATGTGTGTCATTTGTTACAATCTCATCTTCAAGATCTCACCGCAGAAACGCCTGATGCTGACAGAAGTTTGTGAAGCTTCGCTAGTTGCAGTAGGTATCCTGTGTGATGGCTGTGTGCTGCCAGCTGCTGAGAGAGCTGCTGCTGGCCAGGTGGCTGCTGGTGCAGGGGGCATGTGAGGGGTCGCACCAGCAGCCCGAGTCCTTACACCCGTGATGATGTGCGTCATGACTCAGTGCTTCCTGGCTCACAGCCTCAGTCATCTTTTTGGAGGCCACTGGACCTCATAATGAGGAGCTGTCAGGATCCTAGGATTAATTCCAGTGCTTGGAGGTGAGCCACTTACTGCTCTATAATTCTGCTGAACGTCTTAGGCCATTAGTTCAGATATCAACCAGAAGAATAAAAGCTCATCTGCTGTCATTGTTCTCCTTTAGAGCTCTGGAGAACAGGAGTAGGTTTAACAGATGAGAAGCCAGAGAAAATCTGTTGTCTCTGGAAAATTCCTTTGAACATCCAGTTCTTTCACTTTACCTTGTGTATATGCTCTGCAGGGAATGTCTGTGGGTCATCTGAACAGTGGAAGGTGACTATTGACTGTCATGGCAAGTCAATCTGAGGTCTAGAATGTAGAAGTAGAATTGTTTAAATCATGAGAGTTTTATTTTAAATGACTATTCAGTTTCCTGCTTTATAGGGCTTCATATTAGTTCAGTTTAATTAGCACCTGCTACTTATTTTTCTCAAGGTGAACTGCTATTGGTCTAGATGTAGAAGCATGTAAATGCTTTAACATGGAGCTGCATTGCTGATTTATTGCTACTTTATTTTATTACTATATTTGGAAATATTTATTACTAAATGTAAAAATGAAAATGTTTAATTCTTCCTTTTGAAGACAATTTGCAGTTGCAAACTGGGTTCTGGCACACAGGAAGCTGAGTGGTCACTCTGTAACCCCAGGCCAAGTTGTTGTCCCCTTTGCAGCTCGCTCCACTGGACAGAATTATAAATACTTATGTCAGCCAATTTAATTAGATGTA